AAATCAGTCTGATACGAAAGTCATTTTACTTGTTGCAAGACTCAGTTCATGAATCTAGATTATGTTTTGAGTAAATTAACCTTAATGGGATTATAAAAGGAGCAAAACATACAGTGTGAAGTTCTACAGATAAATTTTGGTGCCTGACATATCTTCCTGTGTCTTGCATGGCTTTCTTATCTAAGGAGCCATATAAGCAATTAAGATATTATAGCTAAAGTTACAGACAATGCACATCCTTTTAACCATTACGGAAGCAAAATAAATGTGGTGACTTAAAGCTCAAACAACCTTCAAGAAGCAGAGAACCACATTTTGCTTTCATTCCCCCATGAGTATAGCTCATAGCTGATGAAATTGTGAACAGCTGTATCTGATCTGTTCAGCCGTGTAATTTCTGAGTCTCATGGAAATTACCATATGTTAGGGGTAGTAGACAGAAAAGGACAGAATTGCTCTTGAGTTGTTGTGGCCTCATCTAGAAGCAGGATGGACAGTGTTGTCTGCTGCTGCTGGTATGCTACTCCCACAACCTCTTTTCATAGCTGAAACACAGCTGAACATAACTTCCAATGTCAAGATCCACCAGGAAGACAGATTGCAGGAAGGATGTATTCTATCTATTGTAGAGGTGACAGACAATATTTCAGATGTGTTTTGCAGTGAAACTGATATAGCATATCAACAGTGGACTTGACAGTGCCGGGTTAATGTTCTGCCTTTGAGGTCTTTTACAACCATAATGATTCTAGGATTCCACAAAGTTCCTAGAGGTAAAACCAGCTTGGGAGAGCAGAACTTTTCTGTCAGATGTCATTTGACCAATATCACTAATTTTTCATGTATAGTACTGGATCTGTAGGTCACAGTGAAGGAAGTGTCCCGCCTGATTCGGATGCTCCTACTGAGTTTCCTCTTATAATAATGTGTGCCTTATTCCTATTCTAATAATTTATGTTGACAGATGTTATTGTTCACTTCCACAAAAGGTAACAAATGTGTGCTATGTTTCTTCTCACCCAGCATTTGCTCCAGCTTCCCTTGCCTGAGTAGATGATAATTAGAATAGGAAACCTTGAAGATCAACCTCTCCTAGAAACAGTACCTTTCTGACATCTCTACATACAGAACCAAAAAACTATTGAGAGAGAGCTAAGGGATTTTTTACCTTCTACTTTCACAGTTATAATGAAGATGATCCCTTCCCTTCCTCAGCAAACTGAACACAGAATATGTTCTGATTGTTGTGAATCTTTGCTTGTGTAGAAGTTTTGCTCCCAGCTGAAAGTTCTCTTTTTCTTTTCCAAACTCCTCAGTGCTTCTGTTCTGTTCAGCTGGTACAAATCCTTCATTTGCACAGTTGCTCTTGCATTCACTGAAAAATTTTTAAGATCTCTGCTGTCCAAAATACCGTAATATTTATAATTCCTATGAATATTAAAAAAATTTATCTAGGTGTATACTTGTCAAAAATTGATCTTAGACCCAGATGAGTGTTGAATCTTTATTAAAAATAATTTATCTATTTAATTGCCAATCTCAGAAGCATCAACATATTCTCATAAAAGTAACTTTCTTTGTCATCCAGACTCTGCATAAAACTCTGCATTTAATAAATGTTTAAATAACCCATTTTTCTTGAAGAACCAGAAGAACCTTTAACATATTTCCTATTTACAAGTATCAGTTTGTGGTAATTCCATTTGAATTCTAATCCCTATATTCAATTTAAGGTTGTTGATTTTTTGTCTTTTTCCGTGTCTGAATTTGCTGTGTGCCAGATGGACATGGAAGGTGATTGAGAAATCAGACACTGCTAGTGTTTGTACTCATATCTAAACCTTGTAAGACTGGAGAGTTCTTATTTCTATTTATTATCACAGCAAACAATGGTTCTAATTATTATTGCTGAATAATAATAATGAAGTACTGTAAGTAATCATTGACTTTAAAATGAAAAATATTAGAACATGCATTCTTCATATTATTATATTACTTAGTTAGTAAGTCAAGCTCTCTTCAAATTCAAAATAGTTTTTATTTTGAAATTTAGTCTCTATTATTGTTAATCTGGATTTCAGAACCATAATTTTCTGTATTTTTACAGCATGTACTGCCCAAAATTTTCATTTAATGTGTCTTCACTACAGTTAAAATGTACAATTTTAGGCACTGTACCATTTTAAATGTAGTTGGTTTAATGATAATTTCAGTTATACAACTGCTGTGCACAAAGCATGGGTTATAAACCATCATTACATACCATGTATATATGAATATGATACACATATTTTTCATCTATATAATTTAAATTAATTTCACAGAAACATAATAATTTAATTGAGGATTATACATCTGAATTTACAAGTTAATAGTTTTCTTGAACACAAGATGAGAAAGGAGTTTTTCATAGACATCTCTTGAACCTGATTAAAGCTGTTATGTTGCCAACTCCATATCTAGGATGAAGTAGAATAACAATACAGTAAGAAGTAACAAAGCTAAACAGCTTTTCTGGTAGCCATGTGTTTGATAGAAATTACCTTTCCAAACAGAATTTAGAAGATAGATTTTCATACATGATTCTCTGGACTGAAGTATGCATTATTCAAGCAGGTATGAATTGCTGAAAATAGTGATGGCTCTACAAGTTTGAGATTAGAATTTCAAAATACTTCCTTTGTTCATGCATAATATTCTAAGACTTGACATTGTTTTTATTAGTAGCACTATTAAAGATTCAGACATTTTATAAAACGTGTATGTTGGTAGAGTGGTTTTGGAACACAGCAATTTGCTTTACAGCTAAGAAGATAATACCTTAATACATTGCAAATGCAACTGCTTGCTCTTATTTCAACTGGGAAATGAAAATGAAATGAAACAGAATTCTATTTTGGTAGCACTGAGTATTCGTAGGCAGTTCAACTTTTCTAAACCAGTTTTATTACATTCACACCTGGTTCTATGTCAAAGAGACAGATGTAACATGTATTATGTTTTTTAGTAATCTCTCAAGTGCCTTGAACATGCTAACTACCATTTCAGGAATAAGGAATACCAAGTAGTACACTATTAAGTCCTGAGTGAAACATGAAGTAAAAACCCATTTATTTTAGCATTAAAATTTATTTACTTCCTGTAATGGTATTTTGGACTAGTTGAATTCTAGGTGTATTTTTATGCTATGTGATTCTGAAGCAGCACAAATAGCATCTAAAATATATGCAGTCCTTAGTCAAAGTTCCAGACCATTGTTATTTAAGTCATTTTTAATGAAAACATATATTATCCTAAATACATCTCAAGTTTTTAAAAGCCGTTTTTGAAACATGGGCTGTCACTTAGAGTGATATATAATGACTAAGAATGTGGCAGGTCTTTTCTCTTTTTGATTTCTGACACATTTATTTGTTAATTTCTTTTCCTTACATAGCTAACAACTTTGATGGGTGTAAATTAGTAATGTCACAGTACTTATAATGCCACTTTCTGAGCTATCATGAGCTCTTAAATAAAGATGAAACTGTTTAGTATTAAGTTATTTGTTATTATCCTTTGCTTTCCTGAACGATAACTATGGTTGCAGGACAAGGGCATGCCCAAACATCTGCGTCTGAAATCTGAAATCTGCCCCTGTTTTTTACAAAGATTTTTATATATTTTTAAAACAAAGCCAACAACCTGATTAACACATTTTAAAAAACTTCAGTGGGGGAGGGGAGTGGGGAAAAAAAAACCATTTTGCACATTTACAGAATAAACATATCTAAATTCAACAAAATGCATCATCACAAGTATTTTGATTTTTTCATTTTTTTTTCCATTGTGAATCAAAAATAGCCAATTATCTTTTACAGTACAAACATATGTTCATCTGAAAGTAAGAGGAATTGTTTTGATCCCATAGCTGATTCTGTAAATTATGAACTGCTAAGGCAATTCCTTGACCAAAATTCATTATCACAGTTTTTATATTCCTTATTACATGTTTTGATACTATGCATTTGCATATTAAAATAAATACATATTATGCAGGAAGAGATTTTTTTTACAAACCTTTTAACCAGATTATTAAACTGAGATAACATATATAAATTTATTTGTTCATAATGCCCTCCACATAATTTTTGCGCATGTAGATTTATGCCAGGAATGCATTACAAGTATAATTAGGGATCATAGAGAAAATTTCAGATTATTATTCCCTGAAATAATGTATCTTGCTTTATGTTTTGTTGTGCCATATGCAGTTGGTTGCTTTTCAACACCATTTTCAGAAATGATGTTTGCTTTCACTTATTAATAAAATAAAATTTTCAGAAACAATTTAGTACGCAAATCACTGGAGAGTAAGAATAAGACCTGTAAATTGAAAAGCATAGTGAATTTAAAGTCTTAGTACCTGCAAACTGTCTTCATTGCAGTTAGATCAATCCATATATCTGTCCAATTCCACAATTATTTTAGGATTTTTGAACTTTGAGACATTTGGGAATATTGTTTCATAAAATAGGACATAAATTTTGATATCTTAGTCCATGTTTTTTGTTTGTTTTGGTGTTTTGTTGGGTTGGTTTTTATTCTCTAAGGCTGCAGAAGAATTAAAAGAAAAATACTGTTTTCTGCTGTGTTGATTTGAGTGTCTTGATGGAATAGGGTCATGTGTTATCTTTATTTGTTCATTGGCAAGAAACTCCAATTTAAACTGAACAAACCCCAGAAAGCTCTGTCTGAATTGGCACTTCAAGATCTCAGTGTTTAAGTAAATTGTAAATATTAGTGTTGATTTCCACATAATGGTGAAAAAGATGTTTTCATAGTTATTTCTGTAAACTATTTTAATAGTATTTTATAATACAAGTTATCTATCAGGCTTACAGAAAGCCAAATATTTTCATAAATCATCATATATTCAATAGGTTTTGGATATTCAATTTATGCCAATGATTAATTGTTACAAAATATCTTAGATGTAATGATCCCTTCCTTGATTTCAGGGGCTGATGCTGTGGAAGCTCAGTGTAAGAGATTTGAAGTGAGGGCAAGTGACAGTGGAAGAGTGTTGTTTTCTGCAGATGAAGATGAGATTGTCATTGGAGCTGACAGACTGAAAGTAACAGGTAAGGTAGTAATACAGATTCTAAATGCATGTAAACATATATTTTTTAATACTTTTTTTATACTTTTTAATTTAATATTTAGTAGTAATTAAACTATCGATCTTCTACACAATTTTAGTCCACTGTAGAAGAAAACGTCTTCTCATTATCAGAGATTGTTTGACCAACCAGAAGATATTGCATAATCTAAATATCAATTCCTCTAAAGGCAGATTTAAATTTAAATTCTTCAGGATCAACTGTGGTACAAGTCGCACTTACCACTGTGTTTTGGCTTTATATGTTACCATTAGGTATTGTTTTATGTGTGTGCACCATTTGTTTAGGTAAGGCTCCTTCAAAATGTTAAAAAAGATTATATATATGGTAGCCTTTGTTTTTTCCTCTATACAAAGTATCAAGTCTAACTTCCATATAAATTAAGATTTCATGAGGCTTAGCTGAAAAACTTTGCCTTGACTTGGGTGTATTAGTTTATAATGAAATTAAGGTTACTGTTATAGTTTCACCACCGGTGTGGGTGGGAGAGAGAACTGGAAGGGCGAAAATTGAAAAGAAAACTAATGTGTGGAGATAAAGGCAGTTCATACGTAAAGCAAAAGTCACACACACAAGCAAAGCAAAACAAGGAATCAAAATTAATTCACTGCTTTCCATGGGCAGTGAGGTGTTCAGCAATCTGCAGGAAAGCAGGGCCCCATCAGGCATAACGTGGAAAAAGAAACTCATGCTGAATCCTGCTAAGGCTCAAACTTGGTCATAATACTAAATGCTGAGAGAATTAATCTTAAATGTACAATTGACACAGGAGATTTCAAAGTGTCTCTCATATGCTAAAAAAAAAAGCAACTTATAAATGGCACTAAGAATTACATCCCCACCACTGTAAGTTTTTTATGTCATGATCATTATTTTTTAATCAAATATTTGGCACCATAAGAATTAATTTTGTGCAAAGATTGTGTGATACCTTTAAATTCTTCAGCAAACACATGAAAGGTGATGAGTCCCTGTGAGCAACATCAATCAGACTGTATTACTCCACATGGCATGATGTGACTGATGAAACCTGGCAGGAAATCATAATGTCAAACATCAACCAGAATTTTTTTCTTTAGTTTATTTTTCTCAAGCTTGTGTTTTTTATTATCATGGTGCCTTGGGGTGAATATAGGAAAGAAATTATGGAAGAAGAAATAAAACAAAAGTTGAATATAAAAAAGAGAAAATAAGGTGTGCTTATTTGGAGATAAATCTCTCACATGTATTTATTTAAGGGTAGTACTACAATGAAATTGTTTTCTTTTCTTCTGTAGCAATCAATAGTGTCTCTTTGAAAACACTTCACTGTGAATGTGTCCAATAAGTTATTTATTTTGGTCATTAATTTTCAAAGTATACTTATGGGCATTTGTAAACTACCATGGCAATGTGGGATTTTTTGTATATTGTTTTTCCTGCATTCAGAAGAATGTTTTTTAATGGTCAGCTTTTAAAAGCAGTCTATTATAAGTCAGTCTAAGAAATTCTTGATTAGAACAATCTAATGAAAGATTAAGTTGACAGCTTCTCACTGATTATTTTTTGTAAAATTTTTATTTGTAAATTTTTATGTAGGCAGAAAGGTATAGTAGAAACAGGGTAGTAATCCAGGTATCAATTTATTTCCCAGATAAGAAAAATATAGTATCAGAAGCAGTACTTTTTGGTTTAGAGATAGTGCAGTTATATATTTGTATAATAAAAGTCTCTCACTTTAAAATTAGGCAATTGGCTGTTTTACTTTAAATTCTCATTCTTCCTTACATTGCTAGTTTTGCTTTTTCTTTTAACTGCATAAGCTCTTTTCTGCTTTATTACTCAAAGAAAGAAGAAAAAGGATTCAAATTTTTATGTTGTTAGAGAGAGCAGTTAGAATTGCAACTGTCTTATTTTCCTTTTGCACAGAGATGCCTCCTGCCTACAAGTTTAGGATGTATCATGGGGATTTGGAAGGAGGAAAGAGAAAGGCTTGGTGAAGTGAACATTTTTTAAAGAACTGGGGAAACAAGTAGTAATAAGAAGCTCATTTTCTGGCGGGCTCATGGGTTTCTTTCTGCACATGGTTAAATCTTTCTCCATTTTTTTATATTCACCCTGCTGTTCCAAGCATCTATAGCGCCACAGGGTCTTCTGTCTCTCTGCAGCTATAGAACAAGAATATCTGTTTGATTTTTACTTCTCTTATTTAAATCTTAGTTCAGAATTTTCTTCCCTTTGCTTTTATTTAATTTTTCTTTTACCTGGAATAGATCTCTGTAAGATACTCTTGAAACAGAACTGTACTGGTGAACCTTGTTCCTGAGAGTGCAAGCACGCATCATGAGGCAGCTTTATCCTGCCAGAGCACTTTTGAGAAAGATTAAAAATCCCTTAGGTCAGCGTACCTTTTCCTGAGACAATACTGTGAAATAAAGTTATATAAAAACCTTCACTGGAGGGCTCTGTTAGTATAGTTTGTTTGGGTTTTTTCTCTTTTTCCTTGAAGCAAACTTGCAGTTAGCAGCTGTATAAGAAGGATGAAGGAACCTGGAATTCACCTAGTTTTAGTCAAACTGCACCTACTTTTTTTGACAATGTAAATTAGGTTTTTTCTGTTTTGTCTTCCAAGATGGGTTTCTTAGTTAAGGCTAAATGCACACTAACAGAAATTCTCTTTTTTCCCATTCAACTCATACTTTTCTATCCAAATTTTACAAACGTTTTGCTTTTTAAAAAGGGTATTTCTCTATGATTTCAAAGGAGAAGAGACAGTGATTTAACTCTCATATTGTGTCCTACAAATTCTTTTGATCTATTCCTTCTATTTGTAAAATTCCTTCATTTTTCCATAATGTTCTTTATTTAAACATGATTTTACTCTAACCCTTCTTCTGAGACCCATAAAAACTATAGTATAATTTCTTTTTTTCCAGGTTTACATAGCTTCTATGTCAGTCATTCTTGCACATGTGGCTTTTTATGTTTATTAATTATCCTTTAAAAAGGCAAAGCAAAAATAGATTTGCAATTTAAATTAGGTCGTCATTCAGAAGCCATTGCTCTTCTGCAGTCAAATCCAATTTTGTTTTCTAGATGTTGCAAATCACCTACGTATTTTTTTTCTAAATAACCCAGTCTAAATTGTTTGGAAAATATTACTTACTTTTTAGTAAATTGAATTATTCTTGTTTACTACTACTTAATTTCTAGATTGTTTTTGTTCTTACTGCTGCATATCTGGGTGGTGTAGTCTCTTTTAGCCCAGGACTTGGATAGAACTGAATTTTTTTTATTATGATAATTAACATGACAACAGTAATACTTTTTCTCTAAAAAAAATAATGAGCTACTTAGAAATTTTTTATAGTTATAGTTTTACCAAGATTTTAGTTCTGTAGAGTTCAACCACTCCATAATTTTTGGAAACACAAATTTCTCAGATACATAAAGCTCCACATCTGTATTGTATGACCTGATCTAATTGGTTGAAGATCACTTTTTTCCCATATTTCAAACATAGAAATAGTTCTCACTGGGGGAATTGCAGTTGTACAAAGGTCTGCACATTATTGCTTGCAGTGCTGGGAGAAACAAAAGAGGCATAAAAAAATTGCAGGTCATTATGACTTCCTAAGACCCTTCTTCCTTGTCAAATAGCACGATCATGGGGGAAAATGGAAGTTGGAAAAGGACAGTAGAGCACATATGGTGGTAGCTTTCTCAGATTAATAGCAGGATGTATATAGGGCAAATATACTTTTACACCAAAACACTGTCAGGAAAAAGTATGTGAAAGGCTGCAAGTATCTTTTTCATTACACTGAAGTATATGCTTACAAGTGGGTTCAGTCTGGCTTTTGATCAGTCATGGACCTCACTAGATGAAAGATGAGAGCCTTGATGTGTCAAGGAAGCTTCAGAAGGTTCCAGCATACCTATACTCCAATAATATTCTGATAATAATCAGAATTAATATGCAGGGGAGTGCATCAATACTTCAGTTTTGATTTTAAGACTATGCTGCAGGACTGGGAGTCTGCAGGTAATTGAAATATGGAAAGGTCTTCCAGGGTAGTTAAAAGGAAATGATAAAGTAGAAATGCGGCTTATGGCTATAAAAAGGAAATATGACAGAATTATGAGGAAATGTATGTGAATTGCAAATTAGGTTGGAGAAGTAGAAATAAAATATTTATAACAAGTACTGAAATGTAGAAAAATAACTTATTATTTGATATATGTGGTTATTACAGTAGACTTATACCTAGTGCATTGAGAGACTGAATAGGAATTTCAGTATGAATGGGAAAGAAGGTCTTGGATTTTCCATGTTCAGTGGGTGGATTGCTGTTCAGGACAGATGGAGTTTGGAGAGTGAAGTGGCATAAGATGAAGGGAAGCATTTAATCATTTTAAGAGGGCTGGTGGAGCCCTATTATCTGACCACAGTAAAACAGTATTTGATGTGGTACTAAAATTTAACCCTTTAAGCAGATATGACAAATTCTTGGTATCCTGAGCACTGAATGAACCTGAAATATTTTGTCGTCATCTGTCAGTAACAAAAATGCATCACATATAGAGGATTTCTTTGTTTCCTGACTAATGAATACATTAATATGTACTCCAGTGATGAATCAGGTTTCTGATGAGCTTATTTAGCACTTAATGTCTATTCTTGCCTTTAAGGGAGCTCTGACTGAAAGATATTATTGTGGTAGTCTAACCACTTGACAGAAAAACCTGTCAGGGCATGGCTCTGGAGGTACAGCTACAGAGCTGATTACAATCACATTTATATATCTGACTCAAACCTCTCTATGAAATGAAAGCTTTATGGGCAGTCCACAAATGGTGAGAATAAATAAATGAATAAATAATTATTTTTTTTTGTCCTGGACATTGCTTAAATAAATTTATATCTTCTGTTTAAGGGTAGAATGCATCCAGCCAGCTCAAACTCCAAGCAGTGTGTACTT